GAAGAATTGAGGCAGTTCTGAAGGCAAAAGGGGGTCCAACCCGTTACTAGCGAGGTGTACCTAATAAAGTGGCCGGTGAATGTATTGGCTCATATTTGCGTCTCCAATAGGTGCTTTTAATCCTTCTGATCACATTCATGTCCGCAGTAGCTGGTGTTAGTCTATCAGCTCTCATTCACGTACTCAATAGCTGCCTTTTAATACTTCAGCTCACATCGGTGTCCTGAGTAGCCGGCTTTAATTTATCAGCTCATGTTTGCGTTTTTAGTAGCTGGCTTTAATCTTTCTGATGACATCCTTGTCCGCGTAGCTGGTTTTAAGATATCGGCTCACATTTGCGTCCTCAGTAGCTGGTTTTATCTATCAGCTCGCGTTCGCATACTCAGTATCAGCCTTTAATTTTTCAGGTCTCATTGGTGTCCTCAATGGCTGGCCTTAATTCATCAGCTCACATTTTTTTTGCGTCTTTAGTAGCTACCCTTCGTTTTCAGGCTCACACTCATTCTCAGCAGCTGGCTTTTATTGATCAGCCTGCAGTTCGGTAGGTCTCTTCCCTTCATTGCCATCCTTCACCAGGCATGCGGCCTCGATCTAAAATCTCGGCCTCCTCTTTGGGGGGGAATAGAGCAGCTTGTGCACATTCAATCATCCTCAGCGGCTGGCTCTACCAGCCTGCAGTGTCTTAAGTCACCTCCGTTAATCTCCACTCGTTATCCTGCCTCCAGTTTCATGCGGCCTCGACCTCAACTCGGCCTCAGCCTCCTTTTTGGGGGGAGAAAATACTCCTACCCCAAATCTCAAACAGCTCATCATCTCACAGCACTCACATCCTCTGCCGGGATCTGAGCGCCAAACTCTGTCATTCATGTAAATAAATTTACTTCCTAATTGCAGTCTGTCTTTGTGTGAGTCTCTCCAGGATGAAATGACTGTTAAACTCTGCAGTGTCTCTCCGTCTGTGCATTTTAAATTTACAAGATTATTAAATCACTTTCACAAACATCTGACAGTCACAACACAAGAGTCACCTGAGGGAAATGTAAAGGTAAAATCTTAGTTTGTAAAACAAAACGGGTGAATCATAATTATGAGAAAATATTTACCGTAATACTGATAAATAAAAAGCACACTCCTTTTGCAGGCAAATAAGATCATAAAATTTTTGACGACTTTCTAAAGCTTGTCAACCTTTTTTTAATTGAATTTACTCCAAACATTACTGACTTATTTATTTTGCACAAACAAAAAATCATTCGATTCTTAAGTCAAGAAAATTCTTAGAAAATTATTTAATTATTAAAAACCTAAATTCATATTTCAATACAAAAATAAACATGAGTACATATTTTGGTTGCACTTCTGTAAAGAAATGTGAGATCAATAAATAGAAGTCTGATTATTATAGCAGAAAACACAAAAACTTTATTCCAATCTGCTTCAATCAGATCCAGCAGCAGTACTCACACTGATTTTAGTAGTGTTGTTTGTGAATTAAAAACTGTTTGTGTCTGTCTGGTATAGGGTTACGTTTTTTAATTCAGGTGGGGTTTTTTAACGTTCATAAGAAAACCAAGTAAGAAGCAGGACGTCACAGAATTAGTAGAAAAATGAACAAAATCTGAAAATACAAACTGTAATTTAAGTTATGTTAGGTTATTGTAATTATTTAAATAAGAATCCTTTTACATGTTTTGATGTTCATGTTTGTCATTTAAGGTTCTGGTACTATCAAGGGAATGCAAGTGTTTATACCCTGATGAATCCTAATCCTGCGTACCCCGTCACACAGAACTGGATCTCTATTCCGCCATCGTCAGCACTGAGAAGATTCATCTGTGAGAGTAAAGCCCAGATTTGGCCCAGTTAGTTCAAACTGTTTCGGTTTTTCTTTTTCATCATGCACTCAGAACTGCTGTCTGTTTTTGTTGAATCACCTTTAAATCATAAAATTGATTGATTTAAAGTTGAAACAAAGATTATTTAGTTTCCTTCCTGTTTTCTCTGCGCTGTTTCAAATATTCAGGTTTAAAAACTTTTAAAAGTGACACGGATGTTAAGTACTAATATAGTTATTGTATATCTTAATGAACAATATCATATATCAGGGCTATTCAACTAAATCGCTCCTGGGGGGCCGGGGTTACTTGAAGCCTACAGCTTGGGGGCTTTACATCCACCCCAACCCCCCACGAAGGGGGGGTTGCCCATTGATGGTCGGTGAAACACGGCAGCATGCAACAGAACAATTATTATCTTTTACTTTTTATTTTGTTGCATTGAAACATAAATTTAAAATATACAAATGATTTGAAGCACATTTTTTTATCAGGTTAAATAAACTAAAATAAAAAAATCAAAATAATTAAATTTTAAAAATATATTTTTTGTGGATGGGGTGGGCTGGCAAGCTCGTTGGCGGACCAGATAGAAGTCACCCACAGGCCGGATGTGGCCCACGGGACACCAGTTGAATAGCCCATTCATTTATTTATTTTGTTATATCATTTAAACCTATTGTGTTGCTTTTTTTACTGTAAATGTTTCTTTTTCATCAACTCACTGTACTGTTATTATATATATATATTTCATTTACAAAGGCATGAAATTATTGATAGATTCAGTTCAAGATTGAATTAACTTATCATATATATATACAGTATACTGTGCACAACAGTTAACATTTTTCTTACAAGTTTAATTCAGACTTGTTCATGTAAACAACGAACAGTCTGCAAGGAAACGACAACAATAATTAGCTACGTGGTGACCACAACATAATTATCTTGTAGCCACGTGAAACATTTTAATTCCATGTCACCAGACAGGCTTCGAACTTTCAAACATTCCTGTTGCTTTTATAAAATGGTTTATTGCTCCTTTTAAATAATGTTCTGTAAATAAAGAGACAAACTGCTTACTTGCTCTAATGAAAAATAAACTCAATCAACATAATAAAAAGCATATGAATCAGCAAACATTGTGACGTTTGAAACGTTTAATTTGAATAAAAACATGAATTTTTAACTGTTTTTCATCTTTAATAAATTTTTAAAGCATCACTTTCCTCTGAGTTAAAGATTTAATGAGATTTTTGAAAAAAGATCACATTTCATGTTCTGTCAGATCAACCCAGGATTAAAATAAAACATTTCTTCTTACTGAAACCTCTGAGATCAGCTGAAACAAGCTGCAGTTTGCAGAGAAATTCATCTTTAATGTTGGCTGGAGTTAAAAATCTAAAAAAGTCTAAATGTTCATAATAATCAGAGGAAAACTTCAAACATTTCATTTAAATTTATTTTATGTCTAAAACCAGCTGAGATCAGTTTGTCGTCAGTTTGGATTTTTTCTTCTTCTTTGGTGGAAACAAATCTTCGTCACTTTTCTCTGTCAGTAATTTGTCTTTTTTACTTTTCTTTCTTTTCTGGCTCTCTGTAAGCTCTGCCTCCTCCTGTGTTCTGTCACCTGATTGGACGGATTCTCCCTCTTCCTCTGGTGTTTTAGCGTAGTTTTTTAAAGATTTCCTGTTCTTCTTTCGTTTGGAGTCAGAGTTGAACTCTGCAGCTCCTTCACTGATTCGACAGTTTCTGTCTCCCTCTGCAGGAAGTCTGTCCTTGGTTTGATCTTTCTTCTTCTTCTTCTTTGGTTTAATGTCTGTTTCAGTGCTCTCACACTCCTCCTCCTCATTCAGCTCCTTACATCTCTCTGTGGATCTCTTCTTCTTAGTCTTCTGTCTGCGAGGCTCCTCTGTCGGCTCTGATCCAACAGTGGGCGGAGTCTGTTCGACACAGACTGATGAAGAAGGCGTGTGTTGGCTCTTCTTGCCGTACTTGGCCATGAACTCGGCCTCCTGCTGCTCCAGCCGGGCCAGCTTGGCGCTCATGGTCAGTCCGTGCCTCGCTCCCCTGAAAGCAGACAAAGGTTCAGCGCCGGGACTCTGCAGCTTTATTTATTCTCACAGTTTCTGAGTTTCCTCACGTGGAATCAGATCAGTTTCAGGAATCACGCTGACTTACTTGTGAGCCGTTCGTCCTCCACAGACCTTCATCAGCTCAGAGTCAGAGAGCCTGTGGAGAATCACAGGATGAGTGTCTGATGCCAGACTGGAGATTAGAATAAAAGTTAAAACATAAAAACATCCAAGAAACCTTAAATTACTCATTAGAGAAGCTCCTGTCACCAGGACTGGGTAAAAAGTTTAGATTTCATTTAAATTTGTGAAAATCGATTCACAGGACATGAGATCAGTTCTTCCACATGGCTTCTTGTGCGCGTCTGAAACACATTTCTAGACTTTTTCCCTCCTGGCTTGCCGTATATTTACATCTGACTGGCGTTCAGTGCTAACATTAGCCTTTGACAACAAGTTGTCTGGATCAAAACAAAAGAAACTGATGTTATCAGCTGACTCTCAGCAGAACGTACAGATAACAGAGACCATGGAGACTTTTATTTGTAAAGATTTGAGCTCCTACGTGTTAGATTTGAACCAAACTACTGTATGTAAACATCTGACTGAAACTGTTCTCCACAGCATGTTTAAATGTGTTAAAAACAACATTCTAACAAAATCTTTTAGTTTTGTTACCAATATTATTATTTTTAAACTTTAAGAAACGTCTTAATAAAATCCACAGTGATGAAAAGTTGTAGTTTGTTTTAATAAGGTGTAAGTAACAAGTTTTAATAAGTTATACTGAACATAACAGAAACTAACAGAAACATTACAAATATATAGTTTTCATACCCTCTAAAGGAGTGGGCAGAAGTATATTTATATCAGCCCAACTCTTCTCCTGTAACCTTATTCCATCACTTCTTATTTATCAAAATTAGTTTTAATTATTTAAACATGAATTCCTCCAACAACACTGTCAGCTGCAATTCTTGTTTAATTTAAAACCTTTTGAACTTGTGACAGTTTTCCTTCAAGATTTAACTGTTTAATTTAAGTTTGTCCTTATCGTGAAGAGAAAAAAGTGATATTTTATTTTGCAACAGTTGATCCATTTTCATTATTTAAGAGCAGATTGAATCGAACTGAATCGTGATTAACTCATTCAGAACCTTGTGAAGCTAAATCGAATCGATCTAGAGAACAGGCCAGGACACCCAGCCCTACCTGTTACTATGTTTAGTCCAGCTATGAGAGGTGCAAGTTATTGATTAATGAACTAATCTAAAAGGTGATTGATCTTATTGGTAATTGATATGCAGCCATTTTCTTAAAAATCTGAGTTTTCTCTTGTTACAACAGGGTAACTTTCCATAACAGGAAGGATTTATCTTCTATTATATGCTGACTTAAAAAATGAAGCAATAATTTGAAACATTTATTTTGCCAGTTGTATTAAATACTGACTGAATAAACAAAAGTAATGTGCATTTCTCAGTTTCTTATGAAACTTGGGCATGTTTAACAAAAACAATAAAAAAACTATTAGGCTGCTGAATGAGAGAAAAACTGATGAAAATAATATGATTTTAACAAGTTATTAATTTATTATTAGAATTTATTAACGTAATAACGTATTAACGAGTCTTTACGTTCAGAGAGGGTTTTTATATTTTCAGCTCGAGGAGGAGGAAACTGACGGAGGGTCAACGTGTTTCCTATCAGTTAATCAATAAGAACAGATTTTAATCTAATAAACCATTATTATACAATTAATTATAAGCCGATTAATTGTTTGCATTTCTACCAGCTGCAGTTACATCATTCAGAGTAACTCCAGCCTGCTGCACATTCAGACCCTCCTCGTTCTGGAGGGGACCCCGTTACAAAGCTCAGACAGAGACCATGAAGAATCAACATCAGCACCAGTCCTCTCAAGATGACATCATGACATCTTAAAGTTCCCAGTTATTAATACAGCAGAATGTCAAAAGAAAACATCATCGTGGTTTCTAATCGTAAGGGGAAAAAACTGCTGTAATAAATAACATCCATTAGATTTTTTTTTTAAATTGTGAAATATCAGCTGGTAAAACGGTTGTATTTCATTGAGCAGAAAGGTTTTACTTTGTGGTGCTGGACAGATCCAGTTTCTGCTCCTCCTCCTCCTCAGAGCTGCTGCTGGAGTCTGAAACTGATGATTTGGGTTCTGGCTGCTCCTGGCCCGACAGCAGCGTGGCCGACTGAAACAGGAAGTCGTGTTACACCAGCACGTCACAATAAAAGATAAAACTTTAACTTAAACTAAGTTTCTGCTCATTCTGAAGAGAACCCAAAGATCACAGACTAAACACAACCAGAACAATCATCACCTTCACAAAACATCCGTAAAGTTTGCTTTTTGCCAGCAGAGCTTTCCGTGGTTTTCTGTTGGAGATTGTTCCGTCTTCTTCACCTTCTTCTGCCGTCTTCTTTAATTTAATCCCATTCTGATAAAACAGGAAGAACTCACTGAACTAAAACTGGTTTAACTGGAGAATAAAGTGACTTTTCCAAACTTTAACATTGTTTTTTCATTTAAAATGTAAATAAGTCATTTCTTTCAGCCAGATCTCAGTCGGTCACAGTTATTCTGATGTAATCCAGATTATCATCACAGGAGAAATAATCTGCATTAATACAACAGAGTGTTGTGTCGACTGATCAGGTATAAATAAAAACTGGACGTACCTGGTCTGTCTCCACCTGCAGACTGGCTGAGGCCTTGTTAAAAACATGATCCCACCAGTGGAAGCTGAACTGCTCTCCTTCTTTATGACCGACCTGAGAGAAAAACAAGAACTGGACCTCAGAAACCTGGAGCTGCAGCAGAACCAGGATCAAAAAGCAGCTGGACTCACTCCTCCTTTGTCACATTTCACTTTGACTTTCACGGGCTCCGATATGCCGTTCTCAGCTCGCCCGAGTCCTTTCCCTGCAGAGAGGAGGACACAGTGAGACACCTGGACCCGACTGATCCACCTGAACATCTGAGGACAGAGTGAGACACCTGGACCCGACTGATCCACCTGAACATCTGAGGACAGAGTGAGACACCTGGACCCGACTGATCCACCTGAACATCTGAGGACAGAGTGAGACACCTGGACCCGACTGATCCACCTGAACATCTGAGGACAGAGTGAGACACCTGAACATCTGAGGACAGAGTGAGACACCTGGACACGACTGATCCACCTGAACATCTGAGGACAGAGTGAGACACCTGAACCCAACTGATCCACCTGAACATCTGAGGACAGAGTGAGACACCTGGACCCGACTGATCCACCTGAACATCTGAGGACAGAGTGAGACACCTGGACCCAACTGATCCACCTGAACATCTGAGGACAGAGTGAGACACCTGGACCCGACTGATCTACCTGACAGAGCGAGACACCTGGACCCGACTGATCCACCTGAACATCTGAGGACAGAGTGAGACACCTGGACCCGACTGATCCACCTGAACATCTGAGGACAGAGTGAGACACCTGGACCCGACTGATCCACCTGAACATCTGACAACACATCCTCTCACCTTGTTCCCAGCCGTGACGCAGGAGCTGCTGCTCTGCAAACTTCAACCCACGACTTTTCTCTGGCACCACCTCGGCCATCTGATTGGTCAGTCAGCTCCACAGAGACAAACACCGGATCTGAAGGAAAATACCATCCATTAAAAAAAACATAACAAAAAGAACAACAGATTTAAAGATTATTTTAATATTCAAAATAAGGCTGTTTGAAGATAACAGAGGAACATGAATAAACTCTTTATGTTTAAGTTTTAAGAAAGAAACACATCAACACATGAAAAGATTATAATTCCTAATTTGTTTTAAAGCTGTTTGGTTCTTTACAAAGGCAACAAATATTCTATTTGTCAATAAAAATTTAAGATGGGGATAAAGCAACTCAACATCTAACAAAAGCTCTGATCCAGACATTATATTTCTGGTTTTGCTGAAGGTTTTTCAGAGTTTTTATTTGAACTTCCGCTGCTTTTTCACTCAATACTTATTTTATCACCTAAAAACCTGAAACTTAACAGTAAATAAATGAACTGTCGGATCTAATGAACAGTTCTAAGTATCAAACAGACCGAAGGTCCTTTGTTCACAAACGTAGCCAAACCGCTAATAATTATAACCAGATGAAGCTAAACATTAAATCTATTTAATTCTTCTAATAAAAAGTAAATCATAGACAAACCTGGTTCGACTTTCTGGCCGGTCTCTGCTGTACAACATGAGGTTTCTGCCGGCGGAAGTTCACACCGGAAACACGTTCCTTCTTCTACGTTTTTCTAAAGTTGATTCACTGACAGCGCGTCACCGCCACCTACTGGAGGAGAGGGAGAACTGCAGATAGATAGATGATTAGATTAGATAGATAGATGATAGATAGATAGATAGATAGATAGATAGATAGATAGATAGATAGATA